CATCCATTCTCTCTCTCTCTCTCTCTCTCTCTCTCTCTCTCTCTCTCTCTCTCTCTAGAGTCTGATCTCCTTCAGCTCAGGCTTAGGTTCAGGTGGTCTTTACTTATTTTTTTTTCTATTTTTTTTCCCTTGACCGCGACCGTGACCTTGGCGCGCCCCCCCTTCCCACCGCAGAGGTGCCACAGACGTGGTGGTGCCAAGCCGACGCCCTTTTCTATGGGTCCCTCCACTCTTTTCCCTGCTGCCGGCCAACCCGCAGTCTCCGACAGAAGGGTTTTTGTTGTTGTTTGTCTCGTCTCTGTCCTCATTGATTTTTTTTTTCCTCCTTCTCGGATGGAAGCCATCCAGAACAGCAAAGACGCCAAGCATCGTTACGTCGGTCAAGATTTTTAGTTTCTGCTGACTCTTCTGCTCTTTCCTGCTTCCCGCTACCCTTCTTACTCACTACGGGCAGCAGTACGGATAGTGAGTAGTACGAGCAGCATGTGTACGAGTAGTAGCAGTCAGTAATCGGATGCCACCAGTGATCTTTCCCTGCCTAGGTAGTACGGATAGTATACAACGTTTTATCCATCGTGGCTCCTCCACCTTGTTCTCCCACCCCCTGGTCTGTCGGCCACACAGTTCCCAACGCGGGACAGCACCCGATTTCTCTCTACATTGTCTCCCCTTTTATTCCGGGACTCCTCTCTCTCTCTCTCTCTCTTCCTCTCCTTGACTCCGTCGACAAGGCCATACATTCCCGTCAAGCCGTGGTACCGGGGTTATCGTTGTTGTTGTTGTTGTTGTTGTTGTTGTTGTTGTTGTTGAGAAGTTTGGTGGGATGGATGGGTTGATTTGATTCTATTTCTGACTAATTTCCTTTTTGTTTTCTGACAAGATGACTCTTGGTCCATAGAAGGTACGCCTCTCGCTCCTCTTGCTGGATGAGAGATTTCATCTAGTATTACTACGACTCGGTTCCCATGTATTACTTGTACGACCGTCACACTCACACACTCCCTGGGGGACGGTGACCATTCATGAGTAAGCTTAGGATATGTGTGTGTGTGTCTGTGTCTGACGCACAAGCGAGAAATCCACGGCAGAAAGCAGCGAGAGGAGCGTCATGTCTCTCTCCCCCGTGTGGTACTCGCTGGCCTCTCGGTCCCCCATGCGTGATGCGTGGGGCGGGGGCCCGACAGGATAAAAATAGCCATCCCCAATCATTTTACTCCGTATTAGCCTACTGGGCCATGCCTTTTGCTTCCCGTTCAGGGGTGCGGGCATGACTTCTTGACCGGGATATGTTCTGTGTCCGCCCGCCCGCCCTTGAGAGAGAGAGAGAGAGAGAGAGAGAGAATGGAGAAGGGAAACGAGAGCGAGCAAGCATTCCTTGTTGTACCTCGATGTGCTATCCAATGAAAATCACGTCGCAGGCATTCCTTGTCCGTTTTTTTATTTTTTTCCTCTCTCAATTCTCCTTTCCCTGTCTTTCTTTTTTGTCTCCCCCATGAATAGTAAAAATTGAGCGAGGAAAAAAATTACCATGAATCAATCTCTTCCCTCCCCCTTCTTCCCCCCCCCCATGGATGTCTTGCCCTTGGCTTGGAAGAGCTCGGACGGCGGGGGATGGGCCCAGACAGAAACAGAGCCCAGCCTTGGGGGCCACAATGCGGCTGGTGCCGGAATGAAAGGGCCTTGTCTCGTGCGTTGTTGTCATGGGCATTTGTTGCAGCATACTACTGCCGCTACGAGTAATACCCGTCAATACTCTCCCTCTCTCTCTCTCGCTTGTCTTGCTTGGCTCGCTTGGCCTCGGATGGCTCGCTGGCTTGGCCTGTCACCTCAGCCCTGTCATCTGTATACCCGAGCGTTGTCTCTCCCTCTATCCACAGTCAAGGTAAGGTTACAATCAAAGGAAGAATTGATGCCAATGATGGGCATACCCTCATTCGACCCCGGTGACCATTCGTGTGGTTTCTATTAATATCATTCTCGCTCTCCCCTTCTCACCTCTCTGCTGTCATGCTCTCGTTGGCGCTAAAAAGGGGAGGGGGGGAGGCAGCCCTGTGCCGCTTGTTGAGTTGTGGTAGTAGTCGCTACGTCGACACGAGGAAAGGTTATAGATGCTATACTAGTTGATGAAGATTGGACATCTACCTACCACTACTGGTTGGTTGACTAATGACTGTTTCTATTTTTCATGCATTGCCGCCCGTTGACCTGAATCGACCAGTTGTCATTCGACCTTGTCATTCGACGACTGGTCACCACTTGGTGTGGGA